TTTGGTTACAGTTAAACTTAACGATGGAACTTTCATTCATTTAATACCTGAATTTTCTCAAGCAATTTGTACGCAGTGAAAGAGCGAGCGAAGTTTTAATTTAAGTTCTACAACAAATGAACGATCTCGGCGAGTCTTTCCAAGTCCATTCAATTTGAACATTTGTACAGTTAGTTACACAACAGCAACTGAAATAATTTTTTGAGAAAAAGTCGCATTAAATCCCTTTGTGTCTCGTTGGAGTGTGCCATTCTAATTTAGTTTTTGTGAAGGAAAGACCAGATTCACACACGCCATTGCAGCAAACAAACGAGCAAACTCTCACAATTTCAAAATAGAAAAATTGAATTTACTCACAATTACTTTCCTCGACGTTCACTTAATGAACAGAGGTAAATCTTCGTACATGAATGAATCGTCGATGAGAGTGAATAATACTTTCCGTTAGATCATTGACTGTTTTTGAAGAAAACATTGTCGTGACAGTCCCTGCCAAACTAGTTCCGTTGTTTTTCAAATGTTCTTACGCTTTTTTTTTTACTTACGCGCTCTCTAATGACGGGTGTCACATTGTGACAGATACTTGTAAAAATAATGTTTCAAAGTTTTTTTGGAAGCCTTTTAAATTATCGTTACGGAAATGAAAATGTTTCGCTGAGGCATCTCTCTTGAATTTGCATCACCTCTATTTTAACTACCATTTACTCGCTAAAAAAACTGTTCAGTTTATGGGAGATCTTGCCGTTTTTACAGCCCTAAATCATTCGGGTTCTTTCGGAAAGAATTTCGTCAAGTTTCAAAAAAATAAGTATGTTATTTACCGGCTAAGGGTCGGTCCGTATGGTGAAAAACTGTGACCTCGGTCTTGAAAATGCTGTATTTTAAAGAACTCAGTCACAGTTTTTCACCATACGGACCTCCCAGCCGGCAAATAACATATATATGTATATACTATAGACATACTCGTATGCAAACACACGAGTATACCTATGGGAAGAGCTCAGAAGGATTCAAGTATTGGTCAGTGGATATTGGGTGTGCTTTGATGAATTTGAAGGAGTTTATGTGGGCCCAGGATAACGTGTGCTTATCGGCCTTGTACAGAAAAGAGTAAGTTCGATATCTTAGTTATAATAGGTCTTTGAATAAAGGATATATCTTACAAGAAACCAGACTCCCAAATTAACGGGATGTGTCTTTTGCTAACTTAGTTGAACTTAAGATGATAATTTAGTCTACCCTCTAAGCGTATTGCAAAATATTTAAGCAATTTAATCAGTGTTAGACTTAATGTTAGGACTGTGGTATATGTATTGTGAAAATAAATGAAAAAAGATTCAAATAAATTTTGATTATTCTTTATCATTGGGGCGTGAAATAGATAATTCTAATCATCTTTTTAAATAAAGCTGATCGACTTTCTCTCTATTTAGGAGCTTAGAAGCGCTATATGCAATGTACACCAGGAAAACACTGAGAACATACTCCACATATTCAATGGCGGGATGCATTGAAGAATGTGAGGACCAACAGATTGCTGAGGTGTGTGGCTGTCGACTTCCAAGCCATAAAGGTAGGATCGTGATCAAGTGTGTCTCTACCTTTAGAAAGATAGACTAGCAAATCAGTGTTAACCCTGTTCATATGGAAAAAACTGTCCAAATTAAACTACAAAATAAGATCATTTCATCTAGTTTCATCGCTCGACCTTGGCGTCTTTTCTTTCTATAGTTAAAAAATATTTGTAAGAATAAAGGTATTAAGTATCCAAAAACAGAAACTAAGGCCCCGTTCAAACGGTCATGATAATTTAAGATAGTCGATGATAGCTTCAACTTTCATTCACTATTATTGACTGTCATGTTTGCGTACAAACGGTTCATGAAAGTTGATGATAGTTGACTAAAACACGTAATGAGATCGCGTAATTCTAAACAAGTATAGCGCGCGCTAAAGTCAGTCATTTCGGTGGTATTTGAAATTTTAGTCAAGAAGTTGCGAGTTGAAGATACTGAGGCCTACCAGGAGATGAATAGGATGAATACGAGACATTCTAAGAAATTTTTATGGTTGCTATTTCGGTTTGAGCCTGTTTTTTGGCAAAACCTGCTGACCGAAAAACTATCATTCGCTCGTACAAACGGCAAAAACTTTCATCAGCCATCATGTTGAAGTTGAAAACGTCCAAACTGCATGATAGTTGATGATAGTGCATGGCACTTCATGTTCAAACGCTCGTGAAACTCAAAGCCATGACCCTAAACTAAACGTATTCGAAAGCGGCTCAAGGATTTCCCTGTTTGATTCTTTGTTCTATATCCGTCGGTATTTGTTGTTTCTTTTATGTGTTTGTTTGTTTGGTTGGTTGGTTGTTAATTGGTGTTGTTGTTGTTTTTTATTCCTACTCACTTTCTTACTTTATAATTCAAGGTGTTCCTCTAGCTCCTTTGTGCGCTTCGCCTGAAGAAAGAAAGACTACCTAAATAACGAGATCCGTAAATAACAGCAAGTACTCTAACAGTAGCGATCTTACCTACAGGTTGTCATATCATAGATGCTTTGAAGCCTCATTCATACATTGGTTAATGTGTGCTTCCTGATTAAAATACCTTGACATCATTGGAATGCTTGTTTCACATCAATTCAAACGAAATATTCAAACCAACGTATCACTGGCGAGGAACTGAGTTACAGTGACCCACAGAAAACTAGACATAGAAATTCTACAATATTAAATCTAGAGGCCGCTCCTCTTTTTTCGACTTTCTACTGACTTTTCTGACGAGAAGAAGAAAAAGTCGAGAAACTCATCCGGCTCGATGGAAAGCTTCTGTTGCCGTTTCTTTAGTCCAAAGATAAAGAGACTTTTTATGAGGACAAAATTAAAAATTTTTTTTTACTACTTCCTTTCCTCTAATAAGTAATATGCAGTACAACGTGTAAAAGGCAGTATTAATAACTTAAGAGTCAATTATGTAAGGCTGACCAGTCTATAATCTAGACTAACATTGGCTATACCAATCCATTTATCATTCTCAAGGGTCTAAGGAAGTTTTGTACATCATTTTTATCGATGCACAGAACGCACTTTTTATTTCCTCTATTCTAAAAATAAACCCTTAAAGATAAAAAAGCACAGATTTGGAAGTCTCAATCAGTAAATCACGGTTGCTGACTTCAGTTTTAGGAAAATGCTACAACACAGACTCTCGAAGATCTCCAATTGGTGGCCATACGCTGAATGGTTGCCATAGTTCTTCCATGCTTTCTCGAATTTGAAAATCAGTTAGTTTATTTCTATTTTTTTCACTGTTCTTTTCAAGTTTATTCTTTACCGAATGTTCCCTGTCCATCGTTTTTAGTCGAAACTGTTGCAATTTGCGAGAGCTCTTCCTCTCTCCTCCTTGACTGTTTGTTGACGAACGCCGCGATTTATTTTCACTATAAATCTGAAGATACAAATCTTTCAAAGCATCATTTCTTTTTCCTCCAACATTGAAAAAATAGATAAAAGGGTTACACATTGAATTCAGAAGACCCAGGCCACAGTGCCAGCCTAGTTCCATCCATAGGATTAGGGAATCCCCTGAGTGTTTTCTCAAGAAAACCACAGTAGATCAAAAATGGTGACCAGCATATCAGAAACACCAACACTACCGTAAGCAAAACGCGAATGACTCTTCTCCTCGATTGTATCAACACACTAAGATGAGCGGTGTTTGCACTTATTGTGGATGAATAGAAAGGTTCCTTTGTCTCCTCCACACAACTCGTGAGACTTTGTAATACATGATGCTCATGGTTACCAAAGGTAACACAAAAGATGGCACTGCAAGAAACATCAAATAAGCCAATCCAGATAAACTATTGTTTGGCACCGTGGTGCAGTAATACACTGTCTTGTTTTCTTCAACTGTGATGGGTTTTACATCAGTGAAGTAAAATGTTGGTGTAAATTGCATTACTGAGTAGAGCCACGCGAGCAGAATCATCCAAGATGGTGTAAGAAGTTTTGGTCGCAAGGCAATGGAGGCCATAGGTCTTGCCAGGGACATGTAGCGGTCAATGCTTATAGTTGCTAGGAGAGAGATGGAAACGGTTGGAGTCAGGTACTGCAGAAAAAAATGAAAAATAAATCATTAACAAAACTAGCAATTATTTCTATGAATATTAAGTTTACTGCAAAGGTGTGAGGCAAGAGCAACAATTACGTTACTTTCATGTTACACGGCGATTGGTAGGCACAATGAAAGAATTAGCTCCGATCTATCCTCGTTTTAGTTTCATGCAAGTTGATTAAGCTAAAGTACCTGTACAAATCGTGAAAACTTGCAAGCTCCGTTTTCGATAGAGCTGTATTTAGTTGGGTAATGGAAATTGCTGAAAAGAGTCAGAGGAATACACATCAAGCACACCATCAGATAAGAGATGGCCAAGTGCAAAAGAAACAACTGAACATTAGACTTATGTCCTCTTCGGCGGAGAATTGTAACAACGGTCACCACCAATCCATTGCCGATGGAACCAATTATTGCAACCAGTCCTAGGAAATATAAAGCAAATAAATTGCGTCCTCAACTTTCAGCTTTTGAAGAACTACGTTGATCCCTTATCCCAAAACGTTGAATGGCATGAATACTTTTTACGTCTTACTTTATTACTCAATCTTTTAAAAGTCTTTTTAAAGACTGCTTTCTTCGAAATTTCGACCAGTGGGACTGGTCTAAAGAAGGCTGTTACAAAACAATGGGTCCCTGAAGGGGCTTGTTGCACAAGGGTTTAAATATCCTTAATCACAATGCTAAGTTCCAGATGTTCGCATTCATTCCACCTTATCAAAGTCCCCATGCGAAAGTACGCCATCCTCTTTATGAATCAAAACAAGGGAAAATAATAAACATAAACTCTGCATACCTGCTGAGTATTCAGGTGTCTCATTGTGGTACCTTAAAGCAGCTGTGTCAAACTTTGTCTCATCAGTTAAAACTTGATAACCAAGAGAAGTAATGGTCCCGTAATTCCCTTGGATAAACTTAGCTATACTGTAAGAGTTCCATTTTCTAACCCGTTCCCCTTTTCTGTATGTGGTTATGTTTTAAATCCAGTGGTTTAAATTTTTTTCACCATAAATGTTTAGATATATCACTCAAAGTTATCCTTTCCTATCCTGCCAATTGACAAGTCACCGAAAAAGACACCATAAGTAAGCGAATCAGTTCCAATTGTTCGCACCACGTTCTTTCATAAAAACGGCTTAATAACTAATAATAGTTTGCTTCGGCGTTAAAGCTAGAGTTTGATTTACTGACCTTACAAAAGTGTAGGTTTTAAGTGATGGCTCTGATCAGTTTTGCCTACTTCAAACAAAGGTGATAAATGAATGCCTACCTAGTATTACGGTAGCTGAGATGAAAGCCTGATGTGAAGGATTCCAGCTTCCATCATCTATTCCGTAAGATATTTCATCAACTTCCTTATCCCTCCTTGATAACAAACTACTTTATGACCTTGTAAATTATTTTCTTCTTTTCTTTGGATGAGGTTGTGTTTACCTCTGACCAAGTTACACCGATGGATAAGCAAAATATGGCAACCAAGAACAAAATAACTTTTGTTGGGGTGGATTACCAAATTAGCGGAGACCAAAAGATTCAGAGCAACCAATTGTGTTTATCATTTCTAATTAGCATAGATTGCTTAACCTTTTTTTCACCAAGAAAACAAAGATGTAACAAACTCAATTAAAATTTGCACAGTTTAAGGTTGCGTAACGGTGTTATTTAGGATTCTAAATGTTCATGGAGATCTTAGGATTGGGCTGTATCTATTTTCAGTTGTACTTGCTCGATATGGACAAAACTACATTACAACGAGTTCAACTACAATAAACACGATTAGCTTCACACAAACAAAGTAAGTTGTAATGCTCAAACAATAGTAAAGGTTTGAAACTCAAATGATTGTAAAAAAGGTTATAACTTTGACAGGGTACCAGAAATTGACAATTAAATGATTCTTGCCTTGTTTCATCTTAGTTTATGATCAGAATTTAGTGCAGCTGTTACTATGTCACGTAATAATCTTTAAAAGATTTGTTCACTCAAAAGCATTTGTTATGGATGAGTAACGCGACGGTTTCGTGCATTTAAAAAACTAATGAGGAAGTCAAAAAACTCGCAAATGGTCAAGAGACTGCATCCCAAGAAGAGCCCCATGTTGCCACCAATCTCACCTAAGGAAAGAAAAATTAATGGGAATGCGAATATTCCTATGACTTTGGAACAGATTTTTGCCAGAATTTTTTTCGTTTCCACACTAAGCCTCAGGTACCATTTGCTCGCTTGTAGAGGAGCTCCTTTTAGGAGTATTTTTATTCAAGCCTGATACTTCAAGTAACTACAAAGCGTGAATGCAAAAAATCTACTCCCAATGTTGATAAAACACAGTGTGAATGTACACACAATAGGTTGGTCATCTGTGGGTGGAAAATTGGAAAATTCTGATTACACCCTGCAAGCTAGCGGAATTTAATTTACGAGAAAAAAATTATGTATATTCCTAAAATTGGTTCAGCAAAAGTTTTGATAGATTCGGGGCTTTTTCTTTTCCTGAAAACAGGGTTAAGATCCTTAAATGGTCGCCTACTCAAAGTGTACAGTTACCGGGGCCTTACCATAAATTATAAGAATATAAGCTGCGATGTTTCCGCAATTATCAATATGGCTGCCATCGCATAACCAATGCATTTCTTACCAAACAAGGAATTGCTGTCGTAAGCTGGCTGCTGTTCCTGCATCTCATAACTCAAAGACTTGAATCCAACTTGTAAAAACACAAGATTATCTCTGACGAGGGGGGAAAACGTTCAAACTATTAATAGCAGGTAATTTAGTGTTAACAACTGGGTTGAAAACGTAAATTAGCCACCGTAAAGAGTAAAAAAGCTGACGTTTCGAGCGTTAGTTATACATCGGCGAGACAGGAAGACGACTGGGTGACCGATTCCGAGAACACCTTCGCGATGTGGAAATAAATGACAAGGACGCATCCAAGCCAGTCGCTAGACACTTTAATCTTCCTTATAATTCTAAACAGCATATGGCAGTTTGCGGCCTTTCCTTACATCTAGGCAGTTCGGAAAGCCGTAAAACACTAGAACAAAAGTTTATATTTAAAATCGGCACCCTTAATCCCCACGGAATCAACGAGCGCTTTTCATTCAACTAATTTATTCCTGTTTTTTCGTCACCATATTCCCACCAATGGCGTAGCTCCACTTTCTACATATAAATCCATTCACAACCCACAATTCCTCTAATCTTTACGGTGGCTAATTTACGTTTTCAACCCAGTTGTTAGCACTAAATTACCTGCTATACTCTCCCACCGACGCAGCACCACAGTTTCTTTAGAAACTTACCCCTTCAAACTATTAATATGCTACCACTAACGGATTTTTTTAGACCACCTTCACGGGGATTGTAATAGTTTACATTTCGGATTACTACTGTGTACCTGTGCAAGTCTATAAGAGAAAAGATTCTTGGCACAACATTACAGCTGACTTTTTTTTTTATTTTATTGAATTTGCGAAATACGGAAATTTAGAAATAACTGCGATACACTGTGACAATTGGCTCTTAACTTATGTGCTCAGTGGACGGACAAATACAAGTTTAGCCATTTTATTGTGAACAAAACGATGACTTCTATTCTAATACATCGTAAATTTTGTAGTTTAGATTTTCCCTCCGTAAGAGTACATAGTTTAGAAGAAATTTCAGAAAATACAGTTAAAACTAAAAAACCAAAGGGCAGGGCAATTATCAATTTTTTTAAACTCAGATCCCTTACCTCTGGTATTGTATATCGGCATAGTAACCAGACTTTATGAGTGAGTCAGCAGTACTCGCAGCAGGAAACTTCGAGTAGGACACCTCAGGATGGTACTTAATCTGAGAGCAGGGAACTTGGCAGTCACAGTACTCTTCATCTACCATTGCTTTATGGAAATGCACGATAGTTAAAAAAAGATAAGCAAGTTTGTTTACAACGTTTGCTGATCTTAGAATACTTAGTCAACATAAGACGTTTTTTTCTTTAAATACTGGTGAGTGTAATGTCAGACAAGTCTGTTTAATATGACAGGGAGATCTTTCGTGTAAATATTGTGTAAATATGCATAAAAGTAACTGAGAAGTATATAAGCAAGACTCAATGTTACAAGTGAAATTTACAAGAGCTAGCTCTATGGCTCCTTAACTGGAGTACTGCGTTGTGGGAGAGTATAACAGAGTAATTTAGTGTTATCAACTCAGTTGATAACATCTCAGCTCAACTGATTCTTTTTTTTTTTATTTGACCGTCTTGCATTATGACCTGAAATGTAATGAGTTTTTTCAAATTGCTAGCTAAGGTGCTTTTTCCTTGACGCTTGTTGCAGGGCGTATATTCGGATACCTTAATTTTAAAGTTTTGTCTTACCTGCTATCTGCTTAACGCATACAGCCTCTTCGGATGATATACACGCGGGTGTTCCAGAGGTAACTTATAGAAAAAGCACACGCACAAGTCACTATTTTCCTTTTCCAAAGTTTAAAAAGTGGAAAATCTTCCAGTGGTCGATTTTCGTTCTCAGCCGCGAGAGATCCATAACCAAAGTTGCTGAATATGTAATTTTCGGATTTCCTTTTCGTATTTTGGTTTTCTTCTTATTTTAGGAAAGTTTGAACGTCACTGTCTGTAAGCGATACGGATTTTTCAGTGTTTTAAGAGCCATAATCCGAAAAATTCCGACAAACGACCTTGGATTAAGAATGGTGAAAGCTTTGCCGTTCATTCATCAATCAAATCGAGTGGCGCGAAAGGCGAGTGACGTGTCAGCTGCTGATTGGTGATATCAAACACTTGAAAAAATACGATATTTTTCACGTGTGTTGTTGCAGCTTTTCTCAAGGCCGGAAATCCTTTTAAAACACCGTAATTTATATACTAAATGTTCTTCACGTAGTTATTAGAAAGAATTCTCAAGGCAGCCAAAAATAACTCGATTATGTAGGAGTAGGAAGATGATAATACTCACTTGTTCAGATTTTAAGAGAAGGCTTAGTTGAACTGGGTTGAATTAAGTTGAATCGCGTACTTTTTCTTTAAATTTAAGTTCGATAACACGAGTAGAAAAAAATTTACTAACCTTTATAACCAGCAGGTCGACAGCCACAGTAATTGATAACGTTGTCAGCCATACATTCAAAAAGACATCCTTCTGTCGTGTACGTAAAATACGTATTCAACTCCTTCTTGGTGCAATTGGCTGCGTATGGCTTCTCAAGGTTCTGATACTGGAAACATTGTTCATGTCAATTTTAAAATGTTACCATAAAAAAACTTTTCCTTATTTGTTTTACACCTAAATGTTGACTTTATATTTTTGTATTACTGTTCTGTTGCTGATATCTAAACTATTTTTGTCGTGGTTTTTTGCGTGCCTTCTGCTTCGTTCTTTCTTCGTCTACGTTGAGAATGTATTGAATTGGCTTCTAATAACCCTAAGTTACATTTCTACCTCAACATAAAAAAGATTCCTCGGGTCTAAGTGATCACGCAAACATACCTGTTTCTTAGAAAGAGAAATAACAACGTGCTGTCCTGGTCCTACATTGATACCTTCCCATTCATCGATGTATTCACCTTGCCCATGTATCAACACTTTGAATCCTTCGGAAAATTTTCCTTGAGTATACTCTGGTATTTGTGCATCAAGAATGACTGACAACCCGGATGAAACTCCTGCAATTTTTGATATTTTCATTTCATTGTCTGTACCTGAGTTAAAGGTGAAGCACATACCCCAAGGGGTTACTAAGGGGACAAAATCTGCGGCAGAGCAATCAGCCTCGTCCCAGCCGAATGTGCACAATGGTCCAATCATAGCGCTTGAATTTTGGCCGTAGAGCCGAAAAAATTCTTCAACATTTAGGCGATTAGAATGTTGCCGCATCACCTCTAAGAGAACTTGTCTATAATGACTATCGCAAAGTGGTAAATCATTTTCCAAATCTGCCGGGGAGCAACAACAAAGTATAGACAATCCGCAAGGCCAATTGCCTCGAGCTTCTGCAGTCACAGCACATGTACTGATGTTTAGGCCGCTGGACGCAAACAGTGGATCATCATCTGTCATAAATATCTTACTTTTGGTGAATAAGTTGAGTGGGCAGATCGTTACAGCTGGAAAATCCATCTCTCTGAGGCGTTTTCTGCTTAATAAAGTGGTAACTGGTCTACCGTAGTATTTAGTGAAACCGCCGTAAATGGTGAAGATATAATAACCCCCAGAGCTCATCAGCAATATCATCCAGATAAGGCGAATAAAGATCTGACGCTTCATGAAGACATATCGAATGCCGTGAAGTGTTGTACTGTCCACAAATTCCCTCCAAATCACTGTCAATGTCTGGGCATTATCGTCACCAACTTTAGTTAATTCCTGGGAAAGCTTCTTTTCTTGCATCTTTGTCGCTGAAATCCCCGTAGAGTGCCCAGTCATAGAAGTAGATTTCACATTTATGTCTGATATTGTTGCTTTTATTTCATCCTGCTAAGGAAGGTAAAAGTGAAAGAAGAATGACATGAAAAATGAAAAGCTAACTTCATTAGAGAAATCCCTTATCCGATAAAGTGGATTTTATTCGACAAAAACCCACCTATCACGGGTCATATAGATCTTTAAATGAGTTTCCTCCTTATAAAATAATAAGAAGTTCAACATTTAACATTAAGATTACCCCCAATTCATTCTTGAAAAGCATAAGGACAAAATGCTGAGCTCTGAAAAGATATCGTAACTCTGATTTAACAGCCGCTCATCCGTTCATCTCTGAAAGAAAAACGCTCAATATAATGGTAACTTAACTAAGCTGAAGGCTGGAACAGCCATGCAAGGTATCAACAAGTCCTAAATTGAACCCTTGACGCTCCTAGAGGAATTTGTAAGACTGAAGGCAAACAAAATCAATGGACTTTCAGGGCTTAATACAACGTCCTTGTGTACACATCTAGAGCCAAACATATATCATGTAAATAAGGGTCGAGTGAAGATACCGGTGATGCTGTGGTAGAGAGGAAAAGAGCATAAGATAAGCCTATAATAGCGAAGTAAACTCGCCATTCAGACAGAAAACAGGCTCAGAACAGCCTCGATGCATATAAATTAGGCCACTTTTTAAGATCTTTTAAAAGTCTTACAACAGAGAGCCAGGGCCTCCGCCCGGCATTAAGAGAAGGACACAATCTACAGGATCACAACAAGCAAACTCCACCTGATAGGTGCCATCCAGAGCCCCCAGCAGCAGCAGTGACTTCAGTTTCGATCTTTTTTCGAGTAAGTATGTAAGAAGCAAAGTTTCACGATAATATCAACTCCCCTGGACCGTATCCACTATTCTGGGGATCTACATCATTGTGACGATCACAATGACAATAAAAGAAAAATCTGAGAAATTCGAATCTACTCGACCGTTGTAAAGAGGGACCGGTTCATTTCTCTTGCGTCGCAGTGATATTTCTTGTTTACATTTTTTTTATGTATGTTGTGCGTTACTTGCCGGCGTGAGGTCTGTCGTAAAAAAATTATAAACGAAAACTTTCATCATAACACCTGGTATCATCAATGAAAAGGTTTAGACAGAGTGCAATGAAATTTGTAAGTAACGAATAATCTATAACTAGATTGTTTTGTCCATCAACTTCACGGAAGGAATTTAAATTTTTGTTTAAAGAATGCAAGGCAAAGCAAGAATAATATATTTTTTTATCATTATCTTATTTCATATCATTTTAATACTTATAGGAATTATTATTTATCCATTGCGGGTTGGGGTTAAGACACAAGATAGATGCCAGCCCAAATTAATATGGACTTGTCACACCCCGAAATATGAAGCAAAACCAATGGTTGCATATATTGCAGCTCGGGAGTTGCATCCAATAATAAGATAGCACTGAGAAGAACAAAGGCATCACATTACACAGGCAGCTGAGCAAACACTTCTTTAAAAATAATTTCCATTTCTTAAATGAAGTTGACTTCTTTTCGAATAATATGTGACTTCTTACCAATTTGAGGGTAGTTGTATTCCTTGTTATTCTTATATCAACCTTCAGCTGCTTTTTCGTATTTATTACATGCGGTTTTGCGTGTTTCTCGCAAGTTGTTGAAAATCAAATGACTGACTCAAGGCGAATCCTCATTCAAACAGCTTTATTTGAATGTACGATTTAATTGGTATGAACTAGGAAAAAATTGGATGCAACTTTTCTTTGCTAAACAACTCAAATTAGAGAGCTACGCTGTCGATAGCTGATCGTATTTGAATTCTAATTAAAGCAAAAGGGCCTACAACTTTTCTCTGTGCTTTAGAGAATGAAAAAAAGGCATTATTAGTCCTTGGAGGTGGATGATTGAAATCTGCTTTTCGCTTTATAAACAGAGGAAAGATCATCTATTGTGACTTTAGGTGGCATGTATTTAACTTTCAACGCATTTTCTTACACCAGAGAACGTTACATTCTGTCTTTATTTTTATTCCAGTACAATTAAAGCGGCCAAATGATAGTTAGGCTGGGAATTCCTCGCTGGAGCGGTGACTCAGGGCTCATAATTGCCTGACTAAGTTGAACGTTTCAGTAAAATTCGTGACCATACATACTTTGAAGCTTATCAAGAAGACTAAAGAGGGACTATACAGAAGCATAAATGAATCAAAGAAGCTATTATTAAGTGTGGAGTGCTTTTTCGAGGCGGTAATTATATGTGAAATAAAAATACGATGAAGATTAAAAATATTATTCTTGTCAAACTTATTTAAATCGATTGCAGATTAATATCAAGAAAACTAACCTTCGAATCCATGGCTGCGGTGGACGTTACGCGTCGTGAGAGAACAGATGTCTTTGATGTAAAAGCTAATAAGGACTTGTCTTGTTGATCTTTTTACAAATTAAGGATGCAATTTTCCCGAAAGACTCATATAACGTTGGTAACGAAAAATAGTTTTGTTTATTTTGACTGCGCACTAAAGGCTTTTTACCAATAACCAGATTAGAATTCATAGATCATGGCCAAATACATGCATTATCATTTCAAGAAGTTTTTCCGTCGATTTTTCCAAGAAATTTTTTACAAATGAAATTTAGTAAAAACATTTATTATCGCGGGCTCAAGAAATTGTAATACCCAGTGATAAGCAGACATCAATTTGATTAATTACCTACTTGTATCTCAAATTAAATGGATGCCAAAAGCATAATAACAGACAGGTACCTTGCTATCACTCTCTGGGGCCTTGTGCAGTTAGAATTTGGGCGAACACAGTAATTAAAATTCTCCTTGACGAGAAATCTTCACTTGATTGTACATTCAGAGAAGTAAAAACAGCAATGGAGTGATTGTATTCTTAAACTATAGCTCAATCTGTATCTAAATCTCGATGACTTACCCTTTTTTTTTTCGCTTTCAGAAAGTAAGTTTTTTCCAAATTTTTTTTTCATATTTGGCAGCTGTACACACAAATCACATCAATACCCAGTTGAAACAAGTACCGAACAACAGAACAATCAAAGTTGCATAATAGATTCGAAATCTAGGGGCACGTTAAACTACGACAAAAATATAATTTGGTTGTTTCGCTTAAATATGAATTACCCTAAACACTTGAATAAGCTCTTACCGACATATCAGAGAAGGGAGACCTATAATAATATTCTGAAGGTCTTTTATTCGTTATTCTGAGCTGTTGCTAGGCTTTCATAAATATAATATAGGACATAAACATTCGCACTGTTTTACCTAATGTTTTATGTTTTTTTTTCAATTAGACAATTTTCGATAAGCTCAAAGCCTCTAATTTTAAGCGAGGCTAAGTGTAAAGCCTTTTGTCTGTAAATGATTTTATCTTCTCAAACAAATAAAAAAAACCTTTTTTACATAAGAGCTTTTTTATTGGCTTCAGTTTAAAGTGAGAAAATGGATTATTCAGAAGTTCGAAGTAGCGGAGCTCGCAGCACGCAAAGCATGCACATCGTAGGACCACAGCTCATGGAATGTGACTTACAAAGCCCGGAGCCCAATTGGTTGTTAAAAGAGCGTGTTTAAAAAGAAAGAACTCTGTCTTGAGTGATGAATATTTTCCCCACATTTAAGAGAACTTTCCATGATATCGCGTCAGGTCACTGCTTCCTTTGTTTGCTGTCATCAATCTTGGTAACATGGTCAAAACAGCAAAAGCAACTTCAATAACTCGCGTTATTTCGATGCCTTCTACACGTGCTCCTTCGAGGACACATTCGTTGCTGAGTAGTGATCCTTTTCGATGCACATTTTTAGTCTTAAGTACGCTGGATGTGGAGCCCGTGGAGCAAACTGCAACCCAGAAATAATCCCATATTACCACCGATTTCACCTAAAAAATAATCATAATAAAGCATTTAATTGTGCGGACAAACCTCTTTACAACAGCTATCTTGAGTACAGAGATAAGTGGCCAAAAAAGAGGGGGCCATTTGCGGAGATATATATATTTTTTACATATGACTTGGGCATTTACTAAAGAATACGTGATAATTAGTGTTTATTAGTGTTTACTCCGTCAACAGGGAGAATACGTTTTTACCGAACATAGCGATCCAATCATAAGCTGGTTTTTGTTCATGCTTTTCATAACTGAGTGATTTGAATCCAACTTGTAAAAACACGAGGTTGTCTCTGTTAAAAGATTCAAAAATATCATATCAACAAATTATTCCGATCCTTCAATTTAATCGATCTTAGATAATTTCAAAATAAAACAATATTTTTTAATAACCAAACTGACGAGGAGACCTCGCATACGGTCAGGAGACTAAGGCCTGAAAAAATCCCATATTGATACTGATTTCACCTGAAAAAGTTTATCTTTGTTAAAAATTCAAACACGTTATAGAACTAAATAAAGCGATGAGGGGAAAATTCAAAATGGTTTCCTGACGCTTCGTATGTCCAAGCACAATTCATACAGAAGTATATGTGTATCACGACATCAACTCATTGATACAGTTTGATTTTGAATTTTGTAGAACTATAATCAATAACACACTGACATGCTGGTCACTATCATTTCAAAGTTCTTTGTTCCATCTTAGATCCATTTTTTGTTTTGTTTTGTTTTTAACAATTTCTACCTCTGGTACTGCACATAATCATAATAGCCTTCCAAAATCATCATTTCAGCGGTGCCATGATCCGGAAATTTGGAATACGACACCTCAGTTGTGTACTTAGTATAAGAGCAGGGAACTTGGCAGTCATAGAATTCTTCGTCGATATAATTTACTGTATAAGTTTTTATCTACATCAACCAAACACTGATACCGTTAGGCTTAGCTTTAATCAATCGATAAAATTTGTATTTTACGTTCCAATGCGCTAGAGCCAAATCACAACATGACAAAGGAAAGGTCGCTCACATAATTCATGAGACTCATAACAGCGTTTCTCTTCTGGAGTTGAACACGTCGGGATCCGTGGAGCACTTGATGGCAAAAAATTAAAGATAACTTTTACATTGTTACTTTGCCTGGCTTACCTTCTTTATACTGTGCTTATAATAGAAAAAAAAATCAAAATAAGACATTATTTGACTAAAATCCGGATTGAAAGAGAAGAGAGTGTTAAGAGAAGTATCAAAATACGTGTTATTACAAAAATATCATTGTAAATTAAAATAAACTTCGAGCACTGAAGCCCCAAAATAGTGAGTCCTCGAGGTTCATCTCTCGTTCAAGGTCTATAATTCCACTGTTACGAAGCAAATTTTGATGGGCTGCTCTTGCAGATGTAAAGAAATTTGCTTCTGATGTTACTCATCCCTTTTATCACTTGCCTCTGTAGCCTTCAGGTCGACAACCACACAATTTCACCATTTTTTCGGATACGTATTCATAAATGCATCCCTTCAATGTGTAGGTTGAAGATGACCTCAACGTCTTCTTGTTGCAGTTTGTCGCGTATGGCTCCTCTAGGTTCTCGAACTAGGAAATCAGTCAAAGTTTACAATGACGGTCAACATAAATGTGGACCAAACAGGAATTTAATAACTTACCCGACGTTAAACCTAAACGAGTCGTTGCAATTGCAAAAAAAACAAAGGGTAGAAATATTTAAATGATCTGCATGGGTAATTTATGCGCAATTTAAAACTTAAATAAGAAATAAAATAGCGCAAGAGACATTGCGTAACTTAAAACACTTTATAAAAAGGCTTAATAGTGTGGGCTCAAGGTGTAAATGAACTAAGACTAGTTTGGCTGAAATTTCAATCCTGCCCACAGCTGTAATCCTACAAATAGCGAGAAAGTCCCGCCATATTGAATTTCAATAATTTACGGAAGGAAAGATTAACAGAGCTATATCTAACACCAATCAAACTCACATAATGTCACTCATCGGCTCAAAAAGCACAATTTAGGTAACGTTGTTACAATTACTAAGGATTGAAATTGTTCAAAGTAACAATAACCATACCCTCGTCTGTGAAAGAGCAATAACGGCATGTTGTCCTGGTCCTACACTGATTCCTTCCCATTCATCGATGTACTCATCCTGTCCGTGGATCAACACTTTGAATCCTTTGGAAAATTTTCCTTGAGTATACTCATGTGTTTGAGCATCAAGAATGACTGATAACCCAGATGAAACACCAGCAATGTCTACTCTTTTCACCCTACTACTAATACGTTAATTAAAGGTATAACACATGCCCTATTCAGTCACTATGGGAACAAAGTCATCAGTCGAGCAAGGGAACTCTTTCCACCCAAATGAGCAAAATGGTCCAATAGAATCGCTGATATCTGGACTGTATAGCTGAAGGAATTCTTCTTTATCCAAACGATAAGACTCAAGCTTCAAGGCGTTTGACAAATCTTGTCTGTATTGACTCGTGCAAATAGATAGAATGCTGGTTGTATTTAAAAATTGATTTGGTAAGACAAGGCAAAGCAGAGACAGACCACATGGCTCGACATTTCATGAAGGCATAGCGTGTGCCCTGTAGCGTGGTGTTCTTCACAAATTCCTCCCATATTTCTCTTGACGTCGGGTAATCATCCCCTTTTTCTGATTCGCCTTGAAGAAACCCTACACCTGTAACTCTCTTCGCCCAAAAGGTATAAATGGTCTCTCGTTTCATGGTGCTGGTTTGATGTACACTTTTATCTGAATGAGTTAAATTTTGTTTTCCTCAAATGTAGTGATTCCCCTTCTTATTCCTATGGGTGTCGATGAGAAAAATTTAACATACATTGTCTATCGTAGCTAATTATGCCCCAACACCTGTTTATCTTTCAAGTGAAAAACGTTTTCATACAGAGGCTTGTATTTTTCTTATCCTTTATTCAGATTTATGATTATCGAAAGGTTCTCATGGAAACCAACCTTTTGAGAAAAATTGTTTCCATAATTACATTTCAGAAAATTTCAGAAATTTACAGAACGTATAAATGGGATTTGTTCGCCTTGTTTCTTGCTTTTGATTGGCCATTCTTTTTAATTTGAAAATTTAGATGGCATATGAGATAATTCATTTGTAAGAATACGAGAGAAATTTCAAATTATTATTTTGCCCAAAGAGGCAAAAGCACAAACAAGACCGAGTCTCACCACGCACTTATCCTTTAACTGCACAATAAATTTCCGCAATAGATCCACCGACCTTTGGGGAAACGGTTACCGCAGTCACAGCCGGCAGTTCTCGGTGATCTTCAGCACACGATCTATTTCGAAGTCAGAAGAAATAATTGCAGAGAAAAAGAATCAACCATCATCTGACCATCAGACAGCAAAAACATGATTAAAATTGTTTACATACGAAATACTACCTCGTTGAGTTTCTCATAATTACAACAGTTGATTTAAAAATTGTAATCATGATTGCTCACATGAATGGCTTTTCTTTGATTGATTGATTTTTTTATTAGATGGTTTTAATCAACAGTCACTGAATCCTTAAAAAGTCTCTAAAAGGCTCATAATAATTGATGAAAACACAGTTTAAACTATCTTCACTTATGGCTTTTCCAAGCGTGGCTCTTTTTGAATTCATTTCGAGGATAATTTGCAATTGATATCTTAGCACCACATCTGCAAATGAATCAAAACAAGAGAGCGTCGCCTGCTTACAAATTGGCGTTTAGGAAAATTATTCTCACTGCCGTATGCGCCACCATAGTAACAAGAGTTAATTCAAAATGTTAGCACTGTATTTTCTTTCTTTTCGCACACTTACTTAAGAAAACAATTGGAAAAGGTAAAAAATAACATCACGGAAGGTTTCGACTTTTAGAAAAACATTAAGACGCACCGATGACGTCAGCACCATAACTACTACTAGACATCACAGACTGATAGAGATTGCACTCCACTTAGCAAAAATTCTCTATGGGGAACTGTTACCCAGCTTTAGTAGAGCTGATGAGGATCCATAGCAAGTACCGGTCTCTTTTTTCGATGAGATAGGAATACGCATATTATTTAATTCAAAGGGAAATATTTACAAACTGACGTCAACAGAACCAAATTATCATTTTGTGTTTGAGTGTAAATGATACTGCTGGAAATTACATCATTGTGATTCATGTGCGCGCACGATCAGAACAGCTCACCGTTAACCGCCGAATATACGGCTGATTCTTTCACCTCAAGTCAGAATTCATGATTTAGCTTCTTGAATTTGTTTATACTGGACTGTTCAATAGTTCGAGGAGTCTGCATAATTTGAATCTCGCTATTTGCGACATAAACAAGGTGAGATGGACATGTACATGTCATGATATGGTTTCTTTCACTCTAACGCGCATGTGGCTGTTGGTTACGTCTGTTTAAAAAAAAACCTTTAAAAGGTTATAGGTATCCGAAGAGGAATTCACCAAAATTCCCCGCTTATTCAGAGGAACTAGGCCATGTTGTTTGCGATGTGAACTGCTCGGGGGTGGTGTATTCATTATTGCGTGACAATCTAATTGTTTGTTTGTGATGGTTACAGCATGTACTGACTCCATTGAATAATTGTTAATTCTCTCGTAAAAATGAAAAACGCTTGCTTTGCATGATCAGTAAGCTGGACTGATAACTTATCGGCCGCCATCTCCAGTTGAAATATAAGCTGATCCGATGGTGAAGTAAATCGGTAATGTTATCAGTCCTACCTTAAGCCGAAAAGACGAATAACTTAGTTATTGACATGTTCAAGATAACCCTAACAACGATATTTGTCTACGGCGTTAATTGGAAAATGAATTTTCATTTAATTTGTTTTTTTTTTTTTGTCTTAGCCTCTGGAATAAGTTACGGATGCGGGGGTTTCAAAATTGTTTCACTGGTTTTGGGCGATACGCATCATATTGATTCCCTTAATTCCAGAAACATTTACGGTTAGAACTGTCTCATTCTCATCGAGATAATTAGAATTTTCGGATGAATATTGACTTGGGTGAAAAACAATATACTTAAGCAAAAGCAGAAAATGTATTTCTCTTGGATCCCCAAATTCTAAACGAATGCGAGGATAATTTGGTCATGTTTCTGTAAAGTGACTGAAACAGCGAAATCCAATCATTCAAAGAGATAATCATTCAGAGATTGAAAACAAACGTTTAACCTAAATTCTCAATACTCACCTGCCATAAATTTAAATGCACTTACGTAGAACCAATATTCAAGGGTTTAACATGCAACATTCTAACTCAGAAGGATTTAAGGACACAGAGGATCCGAAACATAACTGAACTATAGAGGCTCGGAACCTAACCGGAATGTTCTATTAATAGTACGGTTAGTTTGATGAAAAAGTGAGGTCTGGCATAGTTTTTAAATTACTTTGATTTAGATTTTATTTCGCAGTGTGAGATCAGCAAGTCAGTTTTTTAATACATTTGATTTTTGTAATTTCACTTCAAAAAAAAGTGGACGCTTTTTATTCAAGTCGTTCAAATTTACCACTAACTTCAGTGATGAAGTGTTTGACTATCAATTTCTGAATTACTTCAGATCTGAAAGCGCTGGATCTCAGTAATTTACACTTACGTTAAAAACTGAAATTTTTTTCTATATCTAATGCTGAATGTAAATCAATAATTTTGTATTTACAAGATGTTGAATTGCGAGGTGGACATTTATCAATAAGGCATCCCTTTCAAATTACCTCAAAATTAGAGCGTGTCAATTATTAAAGATGTTACACAGGCTGCATCAATAAAATCCTCGTTGAATTATTACGTGGCCAGGGCCTTGGTTAACACTAAAGCTGCAACAATAAGCTAAGAGAAAGATCGATAAATAACTGTAGAAGAACAGATTAGATTAAAAAAACCAAAAAAGTTTACACATTTGAATATAAAATTTATTTTGCTTGGGTTCTAATGAGTGATTTGGTTTATTACTAGAAACAGAAGTAGCCAGTATTCGCTTGGAGTCTTGAATCGACCCACGTCAATGGCAGAGAAGATAAACAGCGTTCAAATGACAAACCTTCAGGAAGGGACAATTTCCCAGAAGCCTCCTCTGTCAGACAGCAACGGACGTCAAACAGGAGTAAAAATGTGGCAGGAGTTTGTTGATAACACAACGTTGCATGGCATTCGTTATGTCTTTATAAAGCGCCATGCTGTAACTCGCCTTATATGGTTGATTTTGCTATTGTCGTCTGGTGGTTACTACATTTTTACAGTTTATAGAGCTTTTGAAAAATACTACAGTCGTCCTATTAACACTGTAATAAGCAGAAAACATCTAAGAAAAATGGATTTCCCAGCTATAACGATTTGCTCAAACAATTTGTTTTCAAGAAGCAAAGTCTCTTTACCTGATGATGATCCATCCTTTGCATCCAGCGGTTTAAATATCTCGTCATGCGCTGTCACATCAAGAGCCCGAGCCAATCGGCCCTGTGGATTGTCTTTGCTATGCTGTTGTACTCCTTTTGATAATGAGAACGAGTCGCTTGCTCTCCCAAACTGTACATTTGAATACAAACAAGAACTGTTGAAAGATATACAAGTGTCTAACCATCGTATAGAAGTTGAGAGTTTTTATCAAAAATACAGCCAAAATATCAGTAATCTTCTTGGACCTACTTGTCAGTTCAGTTGGAGGCAAACTCAGTGTTCAATAACAGACTTCGATCCCACAGTGACCGAGTGGGGAATGTGTTACACTTTTAACTCAGGAAGAGAAAGCGAAATTAAAATTGTAGACACTGCTGGAGTTTCTTCTGGACTTACGCTGCTTCTCGATGCAAACACAGCTGAGTATACTCGTGGAAAATTTTCCGAGGGATTCAAAGTGTTGATCCACGGGCAAGGTGAATACTATGATGAATTTGATGGAATCAGCGTGGGACCTGGGCAACATGCTTCAATCGCTCTTTCTCAGAAACGGGTTGGTTTATTTGTTTGTTTGTTCGAGTGTAATCTTTATTCAATGTAGTTGTCTGTTTGATAGCTTATAGGTTCAAGTGCCTTTTTTTCTTTTAAAAGGGCGGTAACATCCTAGAAAAGTGCGATTATGAGATTAAGGATCGCAATTTCAGCGCACGCTCTTCAAGCGTCTTTCTTCTCTGCCTGGTGCATACAAAAGAAAAGACCTGAATGGGTGATACGTTGGCTGATTCAAATGGAACTGGTCATGCATATGTAACGTTTTACTTCAGATACATATTAGTTACATTATGTAGTTAGGTTGTCAGCTTATTCTCATTAGTATGTTATGTTTGTTTTGAAAGTTGGCTATACTTTTTTTTACTTTTAGTATGAGAATTTGGAGAAGCCTTATGCCACCAACTGCACAAATAAACCATTACACACATTTTCTAAGTACTCATTAGAAGGATGCCTTTATGAGTGCCAGGCTCAAAGCACTATTAAAATTTGTGGCTGTCGACCCATCGGCTACATTGGTAAATTTATGTTCTTAATTTATTTTGACCAATAATTTATAAGTAAAATATTAATTATTAAAGTTGTTAAAAGAAAAGAAGTAAACTGTGTAAAAAATCACTCACACCTCAACAGAATGTTGAGGGCTGAGCGTTCCGGTCAGATTCCTTTGCACGTTATGCCTTCGGAACGTAGTACTTGAACGTGTCAACTACCTTCAAGTACTTCCCCCCTTCTAAAGAGTACACGACTTATTTTCTAAGTCAATTTTTTTTGTAATAATCACCAAATTCTTCACCACGCAAAAGTAGTTGAAGGTGATGCTTCTTCCTGCTTCCAGTTCACAGGACTTATTTGACTAATTCCACCGTCCTTACGACTTAGTGCTGTTTTTCATAGACTAAAAAAAACTTTGCGAATCCTTTCGATGAATTTGAACGCCATTTCATGACTGTCCATTACTATGCATATTTTCTGTTTATAAAATTATTGTGTTTATTCCTTGTTAGGTTCCCGTGACACTCCTCCGTGCCTATCCCCCAACGAGGTTAAATGCAGTGACAGCGTTGATGGTGGGAATGTTGTTAGAACCTTTTGATCTCAAATTGACAAGTTAGAATTGCGGTGTGAATGGTCCTGTAGACATTCCACGAAATGCTCATGTTACCTAGTTGCATTTTACATGCCAAGTCGATTTATTGTGGTACCGGATGGTCTCCGTTTTTTGATTCAGCAAACTCAAACAGTGTTACTATGCCTCTCGTTTCGACATAAAAATTAAATTTTAAACAAGCACATAAGACGCTTGTAATTACTGACACTGATCATGTATAAGGTTTGGACCTCAAAAATGATCCGTGTCAGTGTCTTAATACGTTATTAAGTTGCATTTGGCCCAAAGCTTAATCAATATACTATATTTTTAGTTTCTGTTCCAGGCTGATTATCTGTACAACTCTTAAATCAGAAGTAAAATAGGTCATTTACGAAGTGAAGGCTTGCATGCGTTTGCTGTAGAGGATTCCAATTTTTTTTTTATTTTCATTAATTTTTTAATTTTTACTTTCATTATCGTTTCTTCATAAAGCGTCCATAGACGAAGACCTGTGTGACTGCCAAGTTCCTTGCTTTCAAACTCGATATCAAGTCGAGGTTTCTTATTCAAAGTTCCCGGATATAGGCACTGCTGAAGACCTATTGAATGAGGGCTATGAGAGTTTACAGTACATGAGGTATTTTCAGTGATATTTGCCAGCATGGCATAGATAAAGAAAACCTATTACTGTAAGCCTATTAAATCCAGAGCATATATTTCTTTTCTGCCCCTGTAACGGTTTTGGTCTTTTGTCTCGTTTTGAGTAAAAGTGGAGACGTCGTCATTGGGGATACATTAGAGAAAGAACTTGAGCTCAAACAGACTGAAAAATCCTGGTCTGAATAATATAATAATTCACATTTAAGCAACCTAAGGTTTAAAAAATTGGGTTTAGCGAAGATGCCAAAGATTCTGATTCGAAATGCGGACAGATAGTGGCTACGTTTTCTTGCGAGTCAGTATTCATAACTTTTGTTAACATTTTGATGTCCCCACTCTTTAGAGATAATCTTGTGTTTTTACAAGTTGGATTCAAGTCCTTGGGATATGAGATGCAGAAACAGCAGCTGGCATATGACAGCAACTCATTATTTGGTGAGAACTTATTATTGAGACATAAAGTTATATTTGTCACGGTCAGCTGTATTCGTAGGCTTGTATAATATTCTCAATGGTAATTCCTCCTTCTCCATCATAGGTGAGATCGGTGGAAATATGGGCTTATTCCTGGGATGCAGCCTGCTAACCATATGCGAATTTTTGGATTTTTTCATGAGTTACCTAGCAGCACGAAACCGTAACGTGACTCACCCAGCGTAATGACTGTACAAATAATTGTGCGGGAATTTGCCCTTCAAATGTCGTTTGTCTACACAAAATGATGTTCAGACGAATTAAGGTTCAAAACCTATAAAGACTGTAAAGGACTGGTAACTGTATAGTGGTTGGCGCTCTGACAACTTGAGGCGAAGTCAGAGTAAAAGACAAGATGTTGAAAAGTCAAACACTGTCATTAATATCAGTAATTTTCAGGATAACCTTCACCTGGACGATCTTGGTAGTTAATGTTCCTTCCGCTTCCAAACCATGTCTACTATATCAAAACTCATTTCTCTCAGGCGCATTAGAAATCATGGACACGCAGATGATGCCACAGTAGCTTAGTACCGTCATAATTTACACTGTATTTCCAAAGATACAAATTGAGACCTAAGGATTAAAATGTTTGCCTTTGTGCCAAAGATTTCGATAGCTCACAAACTGAATTTAAAGTGTTGGAAATCGCAGTCAGTCATATACACTACTGAAACTTTCTTCAGCTGGGTTATACGAAGACCAACATAACACTACTCTGACATGTTTCTTTACGGATTGTCGTTATTTTTACACAATTTTTTCCCAGAAAACCTTACATGAAAGTACTACTGAAAAAGGTCTCTACAAGGGAGAAAGTTGGACAGCTTCAACCGTCATTTTGATATTTAGGCGGCCGTTATGATTATCTTGTAATACTCTCCACCTGCGCCAAATCACAGTTTCTTTACAATCCTACCCTTTTTTCCGGGTCTGAATAACGTACGAAACTTTTCGTACGTTTCACATCTCATTGTTCTTTCACTTTCATACGACCTCATTCACAATATTACAATGACATCTCATTCTCACTCTCTATACGAAACAACTCCTCTTCCTCAAAGCATAGCAGCTCTCAAGATTGAACAGTTATTATCAACATACATCACGAGACCATGACTACATCCGCTTAGACTTATGAAAGTGATCCAGAGACTACATGTACCCCAGCAGGGGTATTCCATCAGATGTATCAGTGATGCGTCAGAGCGTCGATTAGATTTCTTGTAAAATTTCCAGTCATCATCTTGGCACATGGATATTTAAACTGCCAAACTCAGGAAGAGGGGGGGAAACCTGGTATTCAAAATGCCAAAACAAACACTGGGGAGAGCTGGCTCCACCTTCAGTGTCGAAAATTAAAGGAATGGTATTTCCTATAATGTTCTATGCTATGAGCTACACCGTTACAGTCATGAAAAGTATAGCTTTTCATTGATAGATCAATGAACAAATTCTTGCGGAAGATCAAAAGATCCTGAGTTCTGAACTTGATTGGAATTTAGGTTCATCAGAAGGGTGTGTTTCTATTTAACTCCACCGACTGTTAAACCGCAGATATGCTGCTGTAATCATGCACCATCAGTTGGAAATACACCTCGCCTAAGAAACTGAAGTTTGCAAAGCATACATTTATTCACAATTATACACAAGATCTTTAAATTAATGCTAAAGGTGCCTAATAGAGTCAATGTGTTGGTTTGCAATCGTACTTTTTTCATAAACTGGTTTAAGAGCAACAATATTTGAGTTATGACGTGTAAATGTACTTCAGGATATTGCTTTGAGCCATATGATAGTACGCCCACAAGGAAAGGACATCCATACCTTAAAAGTTTTAGATCTTCGTCGCAGCACTTCCTTTTTTCTAATTCATTCATTGTGAAGCGCTATAGAGTAATATATATAGCGCTATATGATTGTAATAAATTATTATTATTATTATTATTATTATTATTATTATTATTATTATTATTGAAGTTCGGTCCTTTAAGCATCAACAAAATAGCAAAATGCTATTTTGATATAATCGCGAAAAAGGTAACAATACGTCTTTTTAACCGAATTGGAAATATTGTGATGTTACGCAAACTTTTCCTGTCATGGGTTTGTTTTGTCAGATTTTGTTGGCATCCCAATACCAAAGCAGACATTATTGTTGAGATTAAGTGGCCTGTTTCACGCAAAGATATTTACAATGAAAGTCATTTGTCATTGAAATTTCCTACAGCATTGTTCGGCGATGATTTGTAACCTCAAGAATTTTATTCTTCCCTCACTTTTGGGTCAGGTTCCGGCACTACCTATTATAAGAATATCATATTGACATCTCTTAAGAGACATTTTGGCGGGCTTGTGGCCAATGGTGCATATCGTCTATTCAGTCTCTCTTATGGCTTTGGAGGTGCAACGTGTTAGTCAGGTGATTTTTGACGCGATATGAAGGGTATTCGAGCGTTTTTTGGCCAGGTTTTGTTTCTTGTCTTGGCTTCACAATGCTTCAACACAGAAACAGCCATCGCTCAAGGTGGGTTATGGCAAACAATAGTTATTTAATGTTGCTTGAAGATACTGGCCGCATGTTAGCATGTCTCTTCTGGTATTTAACTTGTATAGAGCCCACTTTCGTACGAACACTTTGACCGACGTAGATAGCGAGTGGAGTTTTACAATAAGATCTTTATTATAAAACCGAGAACAGATCTTTTTGGTGAAAGACGCCCTTACAGTCTTAAGGACAGTTAAACTTAATTGTTTAAAACAAACTTTCAAACAATTTGACCTTGGAGCATAGACCCTTGAAATATTAAACTACCAATGGCTCTTCTGATTTTACCTTTAAAATTTTGCTTAAAGCAAATAGCAATTACACTTTTTTCCGTTAGGTTTTATCATTTTCGTGCACCATTTAATTTTCAACTCGAAGAACGCATTTCAGTTGTGTACTATTACAGTTATGCAAATCAAGGTTGCGAAATTATGCTTCGACAACATTTCTACGTTTAGCATATCTTTACATCATTCAATCGCGGTCAGTGCCTCTTCATAAATCATAGCTATTGTATTTTTTAATTTACATGCTGTCTGTCGCTCATCATTAACGGTTAAAGATTAATCACACAAGGAAATATCAAGTGCAAGGGTTTTAACACGGCGTTCCTCATGCGTGACAGCTCCCACAAATTTCAGTCACGCAACAACCGAATCGGGACAAATATGACAAAATTGACAAACAACTTTGATTACAATCATATTAAGGCATGAAACTTTCGTCAGAATAACGTTCAGCTGGCCTTGTGGGTTATGGTAAAGATACACCTTTAACACCAGTGCTTTGTGTCACGTCTATAAGTCGTTATTTTCTCTCTGGGTTCAGGATAAATAAGTTCAAATTATCAAGGGAGTAAGGGAGGGGGGGGGG